GAGGGAGCTGGGGGGGCTCAGCCTGAAGAAAAGGAGGCTCAGGGGGGACCTTCTGGATCCCTAAAATTCCCTGACAGGAGGGGGGAACCGGGGGGGTTATTCTCTTCTCCCAGGTAACAAGTGACAGATGAGAGGAGATGGCCTCAAGTTGTGCCAGGGGAGGTTTAATTGGATAATGGAGAAAATTTCTTCCTGGAGAGGACCTGGAGATGACCCTGGAGAGGGTCATCAAGCGTTGAGCCTGTGGGTGAACAGGGCACTTGGATTCAAGGTGCCTTGAATTCCATAAACTGTTGTTGCCTGAGAAGAAGGGGAGGTTCAGGTTGGACATCAGGAGGAGTTTCCTCGTGGAAAGGGTGGTTACAGATCAAAACCTGCTGCTCAGGGAGGTGGTGGAGTCACCACCCCTGGAGGTGTTCAGGGAACACCTGGATGTGGCACTCAGAGCTCTGGGCTGGGTGACAAGGTGGGGATGGGGCAGGAGCTGGACTCAATGATCTCAGAGGTCTTTTCCAACCTTAATGATTCTGTGAAAGTGTGATTGGGCCCACAATGTTGTGTTCATGCCCAGATAAAATTCCTCCTTGCTGGAGCCAGGACTAGTGCAGATGTCACCCACTCGTTCTCGCAAGCGTGGAAGTTTCAGCTGCCACAACAGGCAGGTGGAATGAGTGAGAAACCCTCCCTGGAGAGCTGCCAGAGAGTTCTGCTGGGTTATTTCAGTGCTTGGACAAGCAGGAGTTTGGCTTTGGAAGGGCAGCACCACAGGAACATCCCTGATGCTGTAGGGACCGAGATTCACCCTGGGCTGAGATGGGCCCTGGCAGGTGCAGGTCTGCAACCATGGGGGGCAATCTGGGAATGACTGAGGCAGGAGGTGATGGGTTGAGGGGGGGACAGCCCTTCCCTGACCTTGCTCCAGTGAAAATCCAGGCCCATGGATCATAGGCTTAAATGAACCTGGTCTAGTGAACAGTTCCCTGCCCACAGCAGGGCATTGGGGTGAGATTGTCTGGAGGGTCCCTTCCAAGCCAGAGACCTTGAGCAGGGTGTGGGGGAGCAGGATCCAGCCCTGCCTCCCTCATCCCAGCCCTGCTGCTGTCAGCAGCTCCCGGGTTTTTATGAAGTGTTGGATCAGCTGGGTCAGGGCTCACCTGGGCTGTGGAAAATCCTGTTCCCTGCCAGGGCAGGGCCTGGGCTCTGAGTCAGCAAAACACTCCAGCATGTGCTCAAGCACCCCCAGCCCAGCAGAGAAGTTGAGCATCTGCTTGTTTTTAAGCTTGCACTTACATATTTGGGGGAGTGGAGTGGAATTTCTGTGGGATGGCTCCTGCTGCCTACCTGGAGCTCCAGGTGAGCCCTGCACACTCTGCCTTCAGCTCCAACACCTTTCAGGAAGGAAAACCAGTCCAAAACTGTAAATATGGGAATAAACATTCCCACCAGCCATTTGCTGTTAATTTACTGTTGAATCAATTCATTTTCATCCAGACCCACTGGAGCAGCTCTGAGCCTCTGAAGACCAGTGAATATTACACTTGATACCATAAGCAAAAGGATTGCAGGGCATGTTTTATTTCACCAAGAGCATTTAGTGCTTTGCCAAATTCTGTCTCTTGAGGGTCACTGCGAATGTGTTCTCCTTCTGCTTTTCATGCAGTGCTGCAAAGTGAGCTGTGGTTGTGCAACTGGGTAACTATTCCTGCAGTTTTAGCTTGGAGGTTTTTCTTTTTCAATGCAAACATATCGTTCAGTCTCACGGATTTATCTCCCCCTAAAAAAAAAAGAAGTGAATGAGGAACCTTCCTTCCTGTGCCTAAAGGGGCTCCAAGAGAGCTGGAGAGGGATGTTGGACAAGGGCCTGGAGTGACAGGACAAGGGAGAATGGCTTTAGGCTGGAGGAGGGTAAATTTAGATTGGATATTGGGAAGAAACTCTTCCCTGTGAGGGTGGAGAGGCACAGGTTGCCCAGAGAAGCTGTGGCTGCCCCATCCCTGGAAGAGTCCAAGGCCAGGTTGGACAGGGATTGGATCAACCTGGGCTGGTGGAAGGTGTCCCTGTCCATGGCATGGGGTGGGACTGGATGATCTTTGTGAAACAAAGCAGAGATTCTTTGACATCTTGATTTGAGAGGCTGCTCGTGGCTCACAGTTGCCTCCCACCTGTCACCATGGCCAGCTTGAAAACAGAAACCTCTTTTCCTGATCATCCTCTGCTATTTTCCTTCCTACCTGCAGGATCTGGTGCTGCAGGTGATCATTTCTCTGTGTGTCAGCAATGGACCAGTTGTTTCACAAGAGATACAAAGTGGTGAGCTCACCCAAATCAGTCAGATGAGCTGGGCTGTGCAAGGCTCTGTTAAATTAAATCAGGAAACAGCAAATGGACATGGCTTGATTTATATCTTCATTTACCTCTCCTTCTGCCCGATGCTGAGGGAAGGCCTCGGTAGGGATCGGCACCGTGCAGCTGCCTGCGAGCACTCGGGGTCTGTGCCGTGTTTGATTCCTTGCAGCTGCTCAGGCTTGGTTAATTATCTCCTTAAAAGAGGAATTCCTGTTTTAGGGGATGATTATAAGGCTGATGAGAACATGCAGGAGAGCACAAACCCAAATATTTAGGCAAACCCATGAAGTGCTTCCCAGAGGCGGCACCGCAGCTGCAGCTCGGGCCGAGCGCTCTTGCTTCTCCAGGTGACACGTTTTTCCCGAGGGATAAATTGCTGGGAGAGCCTGAAGTGAGCATCACTTTGTGCTTGCACAGTCAGCAGGCAGGGCAGGGCATGGGGAGGTTTGGCTCGTTCTCGCTCGGTTGTTGTCTGGGTGGCGGGTGAAGCCAAGCTTGTCATTCCTGCTGCCTTGGGGTCCCTTTGGAATCACGTGGGTCCTTACACAGCAGCTGGGCTGGGACAAGGGACACCTTTCTGGGTGCAGGGAGCTGGCACAGTCCCATGGAATCACACCCCCCGCCAGGCCAGAGCAGGTGCCAGCACAGCCCAGGCCCTCGGGATTTAATAAAGATCTGGAGTGTTGCTGCTGAAAAGCGTGAATCAGTGCAGTCTCTTGATCTCTGCCTCCCTCACAGCCCGTTCAGGCAGTAACAGGCACATGGAAGTGATTAACCCAGCCTCGTGCGAGTGGGTGCCGTTGGTTGGGAAACCCTCCCCACGGGCTTTGTCTCCCCAGCGCGAGGGGGACGTGTTTGGCACGTTGTCCCCAGCACTGCAGCTGTGGGGAGAGCACCAGCACCCTCCCTGCCCGCCCCCCCTGGACTGGGAATGGCTTGTTTTATCCTGGGAATAAATGCCTTTTTTTTTTTTAATTTGTGGCCTTAATAATCAAGATAAGCTCGTTCTTTGCCTGTGCTGAGCAGTCTTTGTGTTGCTTTTCCTTTGCCAGGCAGCTGCTGGGGTGGGTTTTGTCTTGGATATGTCCTTCTGACCCTCTGTGTCCCTGCCATCCATCAGCAAGTCCTGGTGGATCCATGGCAGGTGCCAAAGCTGAGGACAGAGGGGAAAATCGATTGAAATCTTAGGAAAACTTTCCCCATCCCTTAAGAAATCTCGTTTTCTCTGACAAACAGTTACTAGAAAGTTGGATCTCGGTTCCACGTTTTGTCCAGCTGGCAGCCAGTTCACAAAGCCATCCAAAAATTGTTTTGAAACCACGTTACTGACAACAGTAACCATTTAACACACCCAGTGAGCTAAAAGTTAATGCAAATGTTGCAGAAAATAAACGCAGAGCACGTGTACATTTTGTGAAAATTGAGGGAAATTAAGAGTCACGGAGTGCCTTGGGTTGGAGGGGAACTTAAAGGTCATCTTGTTCCACCCCCTGCCATGGGCAGGGACAGCTTCCACTAGAACAAGTTGCTCCAAGCCCCGTCCAACTTGGCCTTGTAAGGTTGAAAACAAGGTATGATGAAGAAGGTGAGAAATGCTGCTGGGGGCTCAGATGGATTTCACCCAGTTTCTAGTCCTGAATCAAAGACAAGGGTCTTTTTAACCCAAGCTGCCCCAAACCCTCGTCTGTTAAGGCCCTCTGAGGCTCAGCAGAGCCCCTGCAAGGGCTGCTGCTCTTCCTGGGTCCCCTGGGGTTGTTTGCATAACTTTGGCCGTGCTCTCTAGGTTTGGAGTGCTTGTTTTGATCTTTGTTTGAATAATACTTGGAGTGTTGATCCATGACGTGGTTTCCTACAGCCTCCTGAGAGGTACAGGGTAATAAAGAAAACATTGTTGGGTTTAGGGGGTTCTTCAATTAATTCTTTAATTTCTCTCGTTAGCCCAGCACTGCCAAGGCCACCACTAAACCATGTCCCCAAGTGCCACATCTACACATCTTTTAAATAGCCAAAGGGCATTTAGAGGAAGATGGACCATAACCTAAATGGTTGGGTTTGACTTCGTGGCTGGAGGTCTGGCAGCTTTTTGGCATTTCCCAAATCCCTCTGGGGATTTATGGGAAGAGCATCACTGAGCGGTTGGGACCTGGGGAAGATGATCTCAGTGTGCAAAGCTGGGGCCAAAACTAAACACAGAGACTGAAGCAAAGGGACTGGTGCTGGCAAACCAAGGTGCTGATGGTTTCCTTTCTAAGTCCTGGGCCTCTGGGAAATAAGGAAGCAGCTGAGAGTCCATAATCCTTAAAAAGGCAGGTAAGGAGTAGCAGAGGTTAAAGCACAGGGTGCCCTGAGCCCTCACACCTGTGCTCTCACCTGGTTCTGAGCTTGGGGAAACCCCCATTTCCTTGCAGTTTGGCCCAAAACACAGCTCTGCTCCCCTGGGGCTGTGCTGTGGGTTCCCTCCCTGGGGACACACCTGCTGAGCAGCACAAGGAATTCTGGCAGGGCCCGTGACATGGGAAAAGGAACTCACACAACTTCTCAGCACCGAGCAGGGACACACGTCACACCCCCAGCTACACGGCTGTGTGGGGACAAAGGGGGTCTCCCCACCTGAAAGCCCCTCTTTCCTGTCTGTTGGGCCACAGAAACCATGCAGCAGAAACACCTGCTGCTCCAGGGGCTGCTCCACAGGTTGACAGAAGAAGAAAGGAACAGTTCTAACACACAGACAACACACCCCAGCAGCACTTGGGTCACCACACGTGTTGAACTGCGATCTTGGTACAGAAGGAACCTTAAAATGTGCTGAAGTTGAAGAGATGTGCAGTGAAAATGCAAAGTAGAGGCAGCTGCTGTTCAGTGGCAGAGCAACACAGTGATGGGGGAACACCAGACTGAGTCGCTTGTGCCCAAAATCTGGAGAACAGGCACCCCAGGGGGGCATGAGCCCCCTTCTCCCACCTCCACCCACACCCAGCTGGCCCTGTGGTGCCCAGTTTAACTGCCCAGGGAAGTGGCTTTCTGCTCCTCTTGGACAGTTCTCTTCCCTCTTTGGCATGGCCACGGCTGGAAGCTGTGACGGATAAATGAGACTTGTCATCTGTTCCCCAGAGCCCTGCCCGGGTCCTGCACTGCTGGTGGTCCCCAAGAGCAATGACAGGGACCTCTGGTCTCCTCCTCTGGGCTTCTCCACATGACCTGCCCTCATCCAGAACGTACAGGAGTCTCTGCCTTTGAATATTCCCTCGGGATTGCCTGGAGGGGTCTTGTCCAAGGCAGACCCTCAGCTCGTTTCTCATCCAGCTGGAGCTGCTGTAAATGCAATGAGCCACAAAGATCCTTCTCAGGAATAACCAACACTCCCACTTGTGCATCAGTCCGAGATTCAGTCACTGTCCTTGCTCTGAGCAAGTGCTGGACTCCTTGGAATGAAGTGATCAGGGATTCTGGAAATTCAATTAATTCCCAAAGACATGCAGGGTCACAGAGCAGTTCCAAGACAAGGAGTTAAACTTGTTTCCTTTTCCTTTGTTTTTAAGCTCATTTTCATTGTGTCCAGAGCACAGCTGAGATAAGCTTTGCAGTAAACACACATTAGGACCAGATTCTGCAAGGAAACATGTTTTTGTCCCTTTTTTTTTTCTTTTTTTTTTTTTTTTTTTTTTTTTTTTTTTTTTTTTTTTTTTTTTTTTTTTTTTTTTTTTTTTTTTTTTTTTTTTTTTTTTTTTTTTTTTTTTTTTTTTTTTTTTTTTTTTTTTTTTTTTTTTTTTTTTTTTTTTTTTTTTTTTTTTTTTTTTTTTTTTT